AGGAATGCATCTGCCAGAGCAGAATGATTCTTCTGACCTCATCCACAAGACACCTTAACTGGCTCCATTTTATCTGATGAACAGAAGTCCTTCTGTATAAGAACCTAAAGTTTTATATTTAGACCTTTTAAAACCAGTTACAGTAATCAAATTATAAGAAAAGGTTTCTTTTACCGAACCTAGAGTAGTCTCTTCTAAATGCTCTGGTTCTAAGTTCTGAGGTCCTAACCAGCCTCCCAGGATAGAAGTAAGGCAGACCAAGGAAAGAAGAAACAGGCAAAGGGAGAAAAAAACGCAAGCAGAAACCTCATGTTCTTTTAGGCCTGTCAGATCAGCTAGAGGTTGCAAGGCTACAGTCCAGAAGTGGTTTTCCTGAAGAAGGAGGGGAAAAAAGAAAAGAGAAAAGAAATTTCATTTATTTAGCAATCATGAGAGCAGATGCAAGTCATGTCTACAGCACAGCTGGTCATGCAGGCTGCCCATGCCAATCAGCAGAAGGAGCAGCCCGAGCCAGGCCAAGTCAGCACCTCTCCATAGGGGAAACAAATGCTGGGGAAGGGTGAAGGAAGCAGTCATGCTCCCTGTCATCAAACTGGCCTATTCAAGGGCTATCCCTACAACTGACGTTCAGCTGCTGCACGTGAATTACCTTGGGAGACTCGCCCGTGACCGTGACCCGAAAGAGAAACATGGACACACACATCCCAGCCATCATGGAAAGCAGCAGCCCATGCCGAGGATTCCCATAGCTTGACAGACCCACCTGTGACACAGGAAGGAAAGCTGTGAGTCAGAAACTGGAGGCTCCTCCTCCCTTTTATGTGAGCAATGCCTAACGCCATTCACAGAGCCTAGTCAGAAACACAGATGGCACATCAAGCGCACACCTTGTATCAAGACCTGTTAGTGTGGTTTAAGGGCTGCCCAGGGTGGTCAAACTGTGCTACACAAGAAGCTCTTAGTGATGAATGATACTTCAGTTATCAACCTCTGAAACTGGCTCCAAATCTCACCACTGGATTTTAATGTGGGGATTTTTCAGCCAGAAGACAACTGTCAGCAAACACATCTCCTTCAACATGAAAATCTGGAGAGAACAGTAAAGCTAATACACTAAATAGATGTATCTCAAAGCTGACAGGCATATCACAGCTCCTAACATCGGCACACCTATTTCCCTGGCCCTTCTGGGGCATTTGGCAGCTGTGCCCATGCACACAGCAGAACTAGGTACAGGCCTGTTTCTCAGTTGTACCCATGGGGACACCACCCTGCCTGAGCACTTCAGTGAAGCAGCTCAGACTGACACTGTTACCTGCCCAGCACACCTGCTGATGCACATGACTTACTTTTGCTACTGCTCTGTCAGAGAGGTACCCAGCAGCAATGCTTCCCACCAGGCCCCCGATCTCCAAGGCACTCATGTAGGAACTCCCTAGAACACAGGTGAAGCAAAGAACAGCTCATCAGGCTTGGTCAAAACAGCAAAGCTGCTGTGGGCTTCAGACCAGTTCCACTGCTGTCAGCTCACTGTGAGCTCAAGCAGCTCTGCTGGACACAACCCTCCAGCTCATCCTTGTCCAGAAATGCCAGTCTGCCAGTCCCAAAAGGGTCCTGGCACTGCAGTGCTTGGTGCATGCAGTAACACCATCACTGAGGTATTTCAACACCTATTGTCTATCTAAGCCGACAGTTATGAGGTAGGCAGACAGGTGGAGGGGCTTCTGTCCTTCTCCTGTACCCAGTCAAGCTCTGGGCAACACCTCTCAGACTGCAACCACAGAGCTTAATAATGCAGCTTTGTATCTTACCCACAAGCATGGACTGTCCCCTTTCCTGGATCAGGAAGAGCTGTCCCCAATCAGTACAGCACGTTTTCACTCCAAAAACGACCAGGTAGCCTGTTGAGAGCACCCAGAGGTATGGAGAGAGCAGCAGCTCTGTCAAGGTGCTGTTGTCACTGGAGGAGCCTGCAGGGAAGAGCAGG